AATGCTGACCTATAAGGCCCACGTCCATGACGACGTCATCTCCAGCACCTGTACGTGGTTAGTCTCCCTTAAGTTGCGACGTCGCCGTTCAGTACACAGTCATTCCACCTACCATTGGACGTCGCATCAACTGCAAATGCATTCCCGTTTAAGCTCCGTCTGTCTAGTTGTCAGTCTCACCAGCATTGGTAAGAGGCGAATCCGGCAATTCTCACGGGCTTCCTTATCCTGTCTTGAAATCCTTGTGCGGATTCTCGCCCTGGCCTTCATCCAGCACATTCCTGGCGGTGGTTTGTCCTAGATTGGGAAAGAGGCAGCACAGCCGTCGGAGGTGCTTTATTGCACTAATGGACGACACGATGTCATTACTCGTGTGCCCACAAGTGACCGAGGGCGAGGAGGTGTGGTTGCTTTCTTGTGATCGCAAGCACTCTCCGTCTGTCCTGGTGTGTTAAGTCCACTCACACCGTGTGCGACACACGGGTGAATCATCAGTTCGAGCAGATCACACTGGTTTGTGAGGAGCTCTCGTCAGGTGTTTGTAGTTGAGCTCTTTCAAGAGAGAGAGAGAGAGAAAGAGTGGAAGTGTTGGAGACATGTGATGGTGGTGGGTGAAGGGTTGGACCTCCTGACAGAAAGGGAATGCTTTCCTCATTGTAGAAAAGCGAGACGGTGCGTACGAAGGTCGCATGTTTCAGCGCTTGAGTTTCATCACTGGCGACATAACGAGGTTGGCAGTGGACGCCATTGTGAATGCGGCGAATTCGTCGTTGCTGGGTGGTGGTGGTGTGGATGGCGCTATCCATCGTGCCGCGGGTCCGGGACTGTTGAAGGAGTGTCGTGGTCTTGGAGGCTGTGCGGTTGGATCGGCCAAAATCACGGGAGGATATAATCTGCCCGCTAAGTGTACGATGTGTACATTTGCTGTTCACCTATTCGCTCCTCTGTCAATTGCGAACGCGTCACCTCATTTCTCCACACATGCACTCGTCCATCCATGCATCAGTTCACTGATGCTGCATCCTTCTTGCTGTGTGTCTTTGGTCGTTTCATCGCACGTACTCAATCGTGCCGAACCCGTCCACCTTCAGCGCATTCATCCATCCGTCCACTTGCTGCATGTCTTCCCTCCCCTTCTTCAATGAATCCGTCACTTCACCCTTCACGCATCCATCCGCCTTGCATTCGCCCGTTTGTCGATGACCCATCCTCTGAATTCCGAACCATCCATTCATCCGCCTTTCCTCCATACATGCACTCCAGGTTTCGGTATTCATTAGCCCATCCATTTGGGAGTTACCTGTCCCTCCACCTACTCAACTTTCCATTCATTTCTTCCTTCCTTCCTTCCTTCCTTCCTACGACCTTGCATGCACCCACGATTGCATTTGGCTATTTGCCGACCGTTTATTCGGTTCCATGAGGGAGGTTTTTGTGACCTTCCTCTGCCTAATTCTGCTGCCTAAATTGTTGCAGAAAGTAGGTCTCATTGGGTGCAGCTCACTGCTGCTTGTTTAACAATGTGCGTTGTTGGCAGATGTCATCCACTGCGTGGGACCATTGAACGGAAGCGCCGAAGCACTGCGCTCCTGCTACGACACCGCGATGAGATTGTGCACCGAGAACGGTATCAAGAGTGTGGCGTTTCCGTGCATTGCCACAGGAGTATACGGTAGGTTGGAGTTGCATTCCCTCATGAAATGCTCCAACATCGTGATTGTAGGCTTTCCGCACGCACCGGCTGCTCAAATCGCTGTGAAAACGGTGTGGGACTACCTGGAGAAGCACGATGATGTAAGCGCTTGGTTGTGTGAATGGGAGAGGTTTGATGCAGCGAAGACGCTGAGCACGGTAGTCGAACATCTGCCCACTTAACTGTGCTATTCGTTGACGCAATGGGCACTCATCCGCGCTGGCTGCATGTGCTCACGCCTGCATCCATTCGTCCGTCAACGCCGTGTACCCACACGTCGAGTTGTCTGTTCGTCAGACCAGTTTGGCTGTGCCCACTCTGCGTCCGTTCGTCCGTCCATCCATCCATGCATCCACCAGCACAATTCCCTCTCGTGTCCACACTTTCGTGTATTCATCCTTCTCCCCTTTCATTCGTCCACCAATGTATGTGGAATGGGTGGACGAATGGATGGATGTAGG